TAGGAGAATTCTCGTTTTTTTTTCTTTGTCCTACTTCACTTGTGCCAGTTGGTGGGGTTTGGATAATACCACTATATTGAGATTAATAATCAAGGAAAAACACCAGAGGGGAACACGAAACCATTACATTAAGAGGGAGAAGTAAATCGATGGAAATATAGCTTGGAGTTACCCCACCTTCATTGCAAACAATCAAAACAAACTTAAGCTTAATCAAGCATAAGGGATTTATCTATGTAATTTATCCAGATGTATCATTCCATCCAACCTTTGTTTAATTTTGATAATTTGTTTTATTATGGATAAATATTAATTGGCTTTTTTTCATGTGTTATGAGCCTATTATGTTTTTGTATCTTTTTAATTTATTTATTGGTTTGTATCAAGGCTTACACCTCACCTCTAGATGTAAAATGCCTAGATATTGGATTGAGGCTTTTCAGACATTGAGTAGTGGTGTTATCACTATCATAATCTACTACCTCACATCCCAAACCTCACTTCACTCTTGCTTTCATCCCATCCCATGCCCCCTCCAATTCCAATTCTTCCAATTCCAACTTCACAACAAATCTCATGGAAACTTACAGAAATAGCGATGTTCTTGCACTTTGGTACCAATACTTTCACAGACTTGGATTGGGGGGCAGGGCATGTAGACCCTTCTGTGTTCAACCCCACTGCATTAAATGCCTCGCAGTGGGCCAATGTGGCCAAAGACAACGGATTTTTAAGAGTTATATTGACTGTAAAACACTGTGATGGATTCTGTCTTTGGCCCTCTCAGTATACTGATTATTCCGTGAAGTCTAGCTCTTGGAGAAATGGAACTGGTGATGTGGTGAAAGAGTTGACCGAAGCTGCTAAGAGTGCTGGAGTGCCTTTGGGAGTTTATCTTTCTCCTTGGGATTGACACGAGCCTACTTATGGGGAGGCTCTTAAGCAATGTTATCAAATTCGCGCAAATGCGCTGCCTAGGCACGACACGCGTAAAAAATGCGTCAAATTGGGCAATGCACTTAAAAATGCTGTCAACGATTTTTGTTGACCGCCTAGGCGCGCCTATGCGTTTCAATGCGCGACAATGCGTGCATAGGCACGCATCAGGAGAGCCTAGGCGCGCATTGAGACGTCCAATTGTGAATTTTTTTTTTTGATATGATATAA